GTCAAGTTTGTACACATGATAAAGACTCTCCTTCCTTTCAAACCCCGGAGGTTATTTGACAAACACTTCTTCCTTTAGGTAGCCACTGAGGAAGGCACTCTTGATATCGATCCGGTGAAGGGTGAATTCCATGTAAGTAGCAAAGGCTTTGAGGAGTCTTATTGTTTCCAACCTTGCAACTGGAGCAAAGGTTTCATCATAGTCTATGCCCTCCTCTTGGCTATATCCTTGAACCACCAATCTTGCATTGTTCCTTGTAACTGTTCCATTCTCATCAAGCTTGTTTCTGAAGACCCATTATGTGCTAATTACTGATCTGTCCATGGGTCTTGGTACCAGATGCAAAACTTGACTCCTTTCAAATTGGTTGAGTTCATCCTGCATTGCATTTACTCAATCTGTATCCTGCAAAGCTTCAGCAACATTTGTAGGTTCAATAAGAGATAAGAAGGCATCAAAACCCCAAAGATTTTTTTAATGAAGATCTGGTTTTGATTCCAGAGGTTGGATCAGTGATTATGTTCTCAATGTGATGAGAACATTGATACTTGTAGACTTTACAACCAACTTGTTTCCCTTTGATGTTCCTTCAATGCTTTGTTGATATGGAACAAATTCATGGACATGTTTTCTTGAGGTTTGAGAATCATTTCCTCTTTGTTCTATTCCCCTTGACATGTTGCCCTGGGTGGAAGAACCTATTCCATCACATGTTCCTTCCTCTAGTGCAGCTTCAGTTTGGGCTGTCGTTTCACTTGAGTTTCTCACCAGCCCAATTACTTCATCATCATATTCCTGTATCTCAAAAAGAATGTTAGTTTCATCAAAAACCACATGAACACTTTATTCAACACACATAGTTCTTTTGTTATAGACCTTATAAGCTTTACTATGTGAAGAATATCCTAAGAATACTCCCTGATCACTTATGGGATCAAACTTGCCTAGGGAGTCTTTACCATTGTTGTGCACAAAGCACTTGCATTTGAATGCCCTAAGATGGGATATATTTTATTTTCTCCCTTTAAGTAACTCATAGGAAATCTTCTCAACAAGAGGTCTGGTCATGCACCTATTTATGATGTAGCATGCAGTATTTACAACTTCTGCCTAGAAGCTATGTGGCAGTTTACTAGAAAGAAGCATAGTCCTAGACATATCTTCAAGTGTCCTATTCTTTCTTTCAACTATTCCATTTTGTTGTGGAGTACTAGGAGCAGAAAAATTAATATCTATTCCATGATCATCACAAAATTCAGCACATTTAGCATTTTCAAATTCAGTGACATCATCAGACCTAATTGATGCAAGTTGATTACCTAGTTGTTTCTGAGTTTTTCTAACAAAAGAAGTGAACATGTCAAATTCTTCATCTTTAGATGTTAAAAACAATGTCCAAATAAACCTAGAGTAATCATCAATAAGCACCATCACGTATCTTTTACCACCTCTATTTATTGTTCTCATTGGACCACTTAGATCAATATGGACCAGTTCCATCATTCTGGTGGTACTTACCACTTTCTTGCATCTAAAGGAGGATCTTACCTACTTCCCCCTGCATATGCCTCACAAACTTTGTCTACCTTGAACTTGATGTTAGGCAGTCCTATCACCATGTCCTTGGAGACTAATTTGTTGAGTTGACTAAGACTTGCACGTCCAAGTCTCTTGTACAAAATGAGGGGATCATTGTCCAACACAGTTAGGCAAGTGAGTTCATTTTCTGATAGTGTGGGCAAATCTACAATATATATATTGTTCACTCTTTTGCCCTGCAAAACAATCTTGTGAGTGGTAAGATTAATCACAAAGCATTTAGTAGAGGTGAATGCTACCAAGTTACCTCTATCACACAATTGTGATACACTAATTAGACTGTATTTTAGGTCGTCTATCAAATAGACATTCTCAATCGTGTGAGAGTCAGTCTTACCTACCTTACCAACCCTAATGATCACACCTTTCTTCCCATTTCTAAAGGAGACATTACCTCATTTGAGGTTCTCAAGTGAAAAGAATTGGTTCTCGCTTCCTGTCATATATTTTTAGCAACCACTATCCATGTACCATATATGGATGCTCCCCTTCACTTGGACCTACAAAACGAAATTATGGGTTAGTATTAGGAACCCAAACTAGCTTGGGTCCCTTTCTATAGGCAAAAGGATAAATTAAATTCTTTTTAGCCCAACCTGGCAGCTTATTTTTCCCTTGAGCAAACTTTTTATTCTTTTGACTAGCCTTTTCTTTTGCAGTGCATTCACTTTTATAGTGACCAGTCTTACCACAGTGTGTGCAAATTGTGTTCTCAGGAAGTGTGAGATACTTGCTTTTGGGATCCCATTTAGGTGGCAGATTCCCAAAGCCAATTCCTCTTCTATTGTTACTTTGATGTTCCGGTAGCCATGATAGTGCATCGGAGGAGCTGTTCCATTTACAAGTTCTGTATAGTTCATGCTTGACCTTTCCTAGATCCTCTGTTAGAATTCTTACCTGCTCATCCTTCTTATACAACTCATCTTTTAATTTACCTACATTTTCTTCTAGAGTGAGTTGTGTGCAATCAGCTGTCTTCTTACTTGTTCCTAATTTCAGTTTTAGGTTTTCAGATCTAAGTTCTAGGATATTTTATTCAAATGCATGAACTTGGTTCTTTAGAGCAGTATTTTCACTTACAGTCTCACTAACTCTAAGTTCCAGGTTCTTACACTTTGCTTTTAAAATCACACATTCCTTAGACAACTGTTCCTTTTCATTGTTTATATCCTCATATTCATCAATGAAATCTAGAGGTAACTCAGATAGCCTTTCTTTAGACAAAAACTTAATCTTGTCTTTTAGATGGATTATACTTACTTCAAATTCCTCATCGGATTCTCCAAATGCCATAAGTGCTTGTTCATCTCCATCTTCATCATTTGGGTCCTCATCTGAGCTTTCTCTCCAAGAAGCAACCATAGCCTTTGTTGATCCTTTGTTCTTCTTGGGATGAACCTATTCCTTCTTTCTGTTTCTTCGTTCAGCTATTTCCTTCTTCCATTCCATTTCCTATTGAGGGCAGTTTTTGATGTGGTGATCAGTTTTCCCACCCTTGTAGCAGCCCTCGTTGGTCTGTTTTTCAGTAACCCTTGGATTTATGTAGCCTCCACTTCTTGAAGAACCCTTTCCTCTTATTAGGTACTTCTTGAAGTCCTTTGTGATCATAGCCATTTCATTTTTCTCTAAATCAGAACTTTTAGTTATTTTAAGTGCCAGGCTCCTTTCCTTCTTGGGTACATCCATCTTCATAGTTTGCCTTCTAAGTTCATAAGTAGTGAGATTTCCAATTAACTTATCCAACCTAAGAGTGGCAATGTTCTTTGATTCCCGAATGGCAGTGATTTTGCTTTCCCAAGTAACTCGCAAAACCCTTGTCAAAATCTTCTCAACTCTGTCTTCTTCGAAAATAATCCTTCCAAGAGACTTAAGTTCATTTATCAGTGTGGTGAACCTTGTATATATGTCTTGGATGGTTTCCCCTTCCTTCATTGTGAAATTCTCATATTGAGAATATAGAAGTGTTCCTCTGGACCTCTTCACTTGAGGTGTTCCTTCATGGGCCACTTGCGAAGTGTCCCAGATTTCCTTAGCAGTGGTACAACTTTGGATTCTATTGTACTCATCTGGACCGAGTCCACAAACAAGCCATTTATTGACTTTAGCATTCTTCTCCCATTTCCTCAAGTCGTCGGCAATGCAGTCAGCTCTTGTTTTTGGCACCTCTTCTCCTTCGGCTTTTATCTTCATGGTAGCCAGTGGACCATCTGTGACAATGTCCCAAAACTCATAGGCTTCTCCTATGATGTGATCTCTCATCTTGTTTTTCCACCAACAGTAATTCTGGCCGTTGAAAAGTGGTGGCCTACCAGTGGATTGCCCTTCCCAGTTTCCAGGTGGTGCACTCATCTTGATCTTCTCCTAAGGTGTTAGCCTCTTCAAGGATAACCTGCTCTCATACCAATTGATGTTTTAACTTCAATACCGCTTGCACAGATTATAGAAGGACCTGGTTCTTCTATGTGCTCCTTATACTACTGTTGTGGAATATTAAATGCAGAAATTAAAGAACACAAGGATTTTTATGTCGAAATCACCTGGCTCAAAAGGCGAAAAAACCAAGACCTACTTCCCAGTAGGATTTTCCCAAAACTCTTCACTAAATCACTGAGCCAAACACTACATTTATAAAACACTTTTGTAAACCTAGGATTAACTCTAATCCCGTTGTGCACACAACCTCTAACTGTTGTGACAACTTCAAGTTAACTCTAACTTGAATACTCTGAGTACCTATTACAATTGCCTCTTTGATAAAGCTGAAAGGTACACTATGAAAATACCTACTACAATTGAACTAGAATAAAAGACAGACACTTGGAACTGGTTCTTCTATTTGGTTCATGTAGCTTCAGGTTCGCACACTTGAATCACACACGAACTGCTTGCAAAATGCCTTGCTATTTTGCTCTCAATTCACATTTAACTTCTACTTTTGTGCGTTCCCTGTAGAATAAGAACATCCTGCGATTTATAGAGTTAGTAGAGTAGAAAATAACTAGAGTTCTAATGCTACTCTTCCTTGGTGGAAGAGTTCTAGTTGATTTCAACATCTAACTCCTCCCTTATCTTGGATGGTGTTCTCTTTGATTAAGGAGTCCTTCTCCTTATCAAATATGCAACCATTTTCGATCATGAGATATTAATTAGACCAAGTTAAGCTTATCTCTTTCACGTGCATCCCACATGCTCAAATATGCCTGTGTCTATGCACACAAGGGATGGACATGATTCATGCCTGAGCTTCCTTTATCAATCTTCAAAACTAACCTTCACTGAGGCCAACATGATTGAATCATAATTTAGAACGATAAAAAAGACTACCAAATTTCAAGACAAATTAAAACATTTCCATTCCCTTCAACCCACCATATAATTAATTACAAATGATTAATATACAGGAACTCAGGTTGGCAACAGTTGGTAATCCCTCAAATGCAGTTGAATGGACACTTGCACAAATGTTGAACCAACCACAATTGATGCAAAGAGTCATAGAAGAACTCAACATTGTCGTTGGAAGCAAAAGATTTGTTCAAGAATCAGACTTGGCACGGCTAAATTTTGTCAAAGCTTGCATAAAAGAGGCCTTTCGTCTCTACACAATATCGCCTTTTAACCTTCCTCATGTCTCTGTTTCTGATACTATTATTAGTGAAAAATACTTCATCCCCAAAGGGAGTGTAGTGCTATTAAGTCGTCTTGGACTTGGTCGGAATCCTAGAGTTTGGGAGGAGCCGATGAAGTTTAAGCCTGAGCGCCATCTCAAGGAAAACAATGGTGAAGTAGTTCTCAATGATTCGGAGTTACGCTTGTTATCATTTAGTATTGGACGAAGAGGGTGCCCTGGTGTGAAACTTGGTTCTACCATTACTACCATGTTACTTGCTAGGCTTCTTCACGGGTTTTCTTGGAGTTTACCACCAAATTCACCATGCAATGACTTAATTGAGTCGTCGAAGAGTGATCTCTTTTGTACATTGCCACTTCTTGCTCGACCAAAACCAAGAGTAGATGAGACAATGTATCCCTAACACAAAAAATTTAAATCTTATCATGTTATTGTATAGAGGTAATCAAATTTGTTCAAACTAGTCTGTATTATCGTGCCTCGCACGTGGAGTCCTAATAATTATTCTAAAATTTCTATTTAAATATATATAATAAAATTTTAATACAATAAATAAATTAGCACATTTATCCTATATAGTATACAAGTATTGTTTGTATGATATCTCTTTTGTTTTCTTTTTTTTCTTTTTTTTACCCTTGTTTATGATTTAAGCAATATGATAGATATAGAATATAGAAAATAAAAATTCTGAATATTTTTCTTTTGGAAAGACGGTAAATTTGAACGAAGAAACGACGTAAAAGGGACGGGCGATAAAAACAGAAGGCAACAAAAATGCACTTTCTAGGCAAACGGGCTTGGGAGAAAACCTATGTTATGTCCCTTATTCCTTCATTTCTTGCTTGAACTTTTTACCATATTATTCTTCACGTTTTTTTTTTTAGGGCAAATCTACACACATGTGCCTCGCACTTGTATTCCAAAAATGAAATTTATATGACGTAAAATGTCTGATAATAAAAATGTACAGGAATGTTCCTTTACTGTTAAAATATTTAAATATATATCTTGATAAAAACTATTGGTAATTAAATATTATAAATTGAAGGCGAGATAAAGACAACTTTCAAATAATTTGCATTACATTATACAATATTTTGTATAACAACTTTTCTCTTGTCATATGTTGAAAATGGCATGCATATATTTTACGAAGAGAAAACTACGCGATGGCACTATCTGTCACGACCCAATTCTTGTGATAGATTGTGATGGCTCCCAACATCGCTGCTAGGCAAGCCAAAGGTGAACTACCAACTTAATTAATTACTTATTTTATTGCTTTTGATAATTTATAAATTTTATTAAGTAAAGAAAATTAGGCATTAAAAATCATGGAGATATAAAACATTAGTAATACATAAAAGAAAAGAGTAACAATATTAGATAAAAACTTTAAATATCTACTAGAAACTTCTAAAATCCGGTGTTACAAGTGCATGAGCATCTACTAAGAAATACAATACTAAAACTACATCTGTCTGGAATGTACAATACACAGGACAACGTAAGTAAAAATGATGGAAACTCCGTGTGCTGCGGATCGTAACATGGAATGCAGCTCACCGTAATGTCCCATCAACGGCTACGCCTATGCGCCCAAATGACCATCAAAATATACCTGCACAATTGAGTACCTAAATTAACACGTACCCAGTAAGTATATAGCCTAACTCCGGAGAAATAGTAACGCAGGTCGACATTGACAGTTACTAGTGGTACAATAAAAAAAAATACAAGAATTATAAGTATGCATGAAGTACAATAGTAGCAATGGAATAAAAAACAGTAACTAACGTGATCCTTTAACAAAATATAAATTTAAAATGCCCAAATACCACATGTCATCTCAGCAAATAAGAACCGTCAAGTAAATATCAGATCTTAAGTAATGAAGGAAATATCATGTAATTGCCAAGTCTCACTCAACAAGGTAACCTTGTGGATAGACAAAATCCTACCGATTTTATGCATGAATTATGTCGAGGTCGTATAGCCCGATCCATATAGTCATGTACATACACGGTCGTGGTCATACGAATCCTACCGTTTTGATGTTCGATCTAATCATGATCTTAAAAATTCCAATTATAAGTTTTTAGTAATTAAACTAACAAATTGAATTCAAGTAATACAATGATTGCATGGTAAAATCTTAAGTCTACCTGGACATAAACATGATTCTAGTTACGCAGGGACTCTCGTCACCGCGCTCGTACGTAGACCCCACAACAAGTAGCACATAATAAATATAACACCTGTGGGATAGTTTCTCTATCACAAGGTTAGACATGAGACTTACTTTGCTCCGAAATCTGATAATCGACTCCAAAGCCTCTCTAATACCTCAATCCAATGCCAAACGATAAAAAATAAATCAAACAACGTGCAAACCAATCAAAATATACTCCAATACTCATAATTTAACAATTTACAACTCTGCTCGAAAAGTCAATAAAGTCAACCCCTAGGCCTACGTCCTCGGATTTCGAACGTTTTCGATGATAAATATTTCCCATAGCATCACGAACTCAAATAAATAATTTATTCCTAGTTCCATGTCCAATTTCGCAATACAAATTCCAAATTTACCATTTGTTGGTTTTTTGTTTCAAAAACCCGTAATTTCTACAAACTTTCTATGTTAAAATCCATATATANATCACCCCAACATCGGCTTCCATGGAAGAATTGAGATAAAATAAACCAAAACCCGATTTTGCAAATTTATACATTGCCCATACGTCCTCCTTCGTGAACGCGGCAAGTGCCTCGCATTCACGAAGCACATACAACTTCTGCTCCCCAAATATGCTGTGTGAACGCGAGAACAGGCTCGCAAACACGAAGCTTTACCAAACTGCCATATCAGGAATTGACAAGCGCAGAACACAATACGAAATTAATGCTCGCTAGCCAAAAATAATATAGTTAAATTATCTCCTCCACAGGTATTGGATTTAAATAATGCTCTAGTAATTTCTAGTTTAACGATATTCAAGACGGTCAACAACAACAACATACCTAATATTATCCCACACCATGGGGTTTAGGGAGGGTAGTGTGTAGGCAGACCTTACCTCTACCTTTTGAGGATAGAGAGGTTGTTTCCAATATTCAGGATGATCAAAACATGATTTTTTAATGATTACTAACTACGGTTAACTAATAAAAGCAATTGAGACTTGTAGAGTGAGGAATAAGGGTTTGTGTAACGACCCAACCGGCCGTTTTGAGAGTTGTAGTCCCCTGTTCCTCCATTTACTATCCATTCCCTACTTAATTGTTGTTATGTGACTTTTCGGGGTAGTTGGTTCGGGTCCGAAGAAGTTTCGTAATGAATTGAGACACTTAGTCTCAAGGTTGAAAGCTTAAGTTAAAAAGATTTATCGGATGTTGACGTATGTGTAAATGACTCCAGAATAGAGTTTTGATGGTGCTGTTAGTTCCGTTGGGTGATTTTGAATTTAGGAGTATGTCCGTATTGTGAATTGGAAGTCTGTTGTTGAATAAGGCTTAAAATGGCAAAAGTTAGAAATTTAGAAGTTTGACCGAGAGTGGATTTTGTGGATACCGGGATCAGAATGGGGTTCCGGTAGTTGGAGTATGTCCGTGATGTCATTTGTGACTTGTGTGCCAAATTTGAGGTCAATCGGACGTGATTTGATAGGTTTCGACATCATTTGTAGAAGTTGGAATTCTTTAGTTTCAATACGCTAGAATTGTGGTAAGATTCATGTTTTTGATGTTATTTGATATTATTCGAGGGCTCGACTAAGTTTGTATCGTGTTTTAGGACTTGTTGGTATACTTGGTGGAGTTCCTAGGGACCTAGGGTGGAGTTCAGATGATTTTCGGAAGAAGTTTGGAGTAAGGTGTGAGGGAACTTTCCGCACATGTGTGGCCATAACTGGAGCGCAGAAGAGAAAATGGAAATGGGGACTGGGTCTGCAGAAGCGGCAACGTAGCTTCTAGAAGGGAGTCCGCAAGAGCGGAGGAACACGTAGAAGCAGATGCGAGAAGGCCTAGGTAGTGTATTAAAAACGAGGGTTCTATGGTTTTCTTTATTTTGAACATTTCAAGATCAGGATTAGGTGATTTCAAGGTAGCTGCCCAACGTTCGCAGACTTGACTCGCCCTCCCTATCTTTCAGCTTTATGTATTTAGATTCTATTTTTCATAGACAGTATTTTCAGACTTGTGTTGTATAGACGCTCATGTACTCAGTGACACCTTGGTTTTGTGAATTCTTTAGTTGTGTTTTGACCTTTTAGCTAGTTTATGAAAGCTTTAAATTATTCAAACCTAGTTTAGTTCAGCTTTTATCTAAAAGTGTTGGAATTTATTAAGTTGTCGACTTACCTAGTAACACGTTAGGTTTCATCACGGCAAGCTACGTTTTTTGGTCGTGACAAGTTGGTATCAGAGCCTAGGTTACATATGTCTCACGATTCATGAGCAGGTTTAGTAGAGTTTTTCGGATTGGTACGGAGACGTCTGTACTTATCTTCGAGAGGCTGTCGAACCCTTAGAAAACTTCATATTATTCTCGTGCGGATTTGTTTATTCTAGGAACTAAACTTCTATTATTCAATTCTCTCACAGATGGTGAGGACACGTGCTACTGGCAGGACGGACAACCACCAGTACCACCAGCTAGGTCCACGAGAGGCCAAGGTTGCAGTTGGAGCCATGGTAGGGGAAGAGGTGCAGCTCATACAATAGCCAGAGCAGCACCTGCAGATTCACCAGTTGCTTCAACTCAGGAGCATGTTCTAGAGGTGGTTGAGCCAATGGGCCCAGCTTAGACACTAGCTGTGCCCATTGTGATCAGGCCTTCAGGAGGCTTTAGCTTAGATTTTGATGGTGTGCACTACCCTTGCTCAGGCAGTTTCTGTTCCGACCGCATCAGCCACTTCTAAGGCAGGGGGAGATACTCAAACTCCCACTACTCGTAACCCAGAGCAGCTGATGCGGTGACTTCAAACGCCGGGGGTATTGCCAGTCTAGCTGGTTGTAGCTGCTCAGGCCCAGGTGGGTACTGTTATGAGTGAGGATGAGCAGAATAGACTTGAGATGTTTGGGAGACTCCAACCTCCAACATTCAGTGGGGATGAGTCAAATGATTCTCAGGACATCTTGGATAGGTGTCAGCGGATTCTTTGTACCTCGGGTATTCTGGAGACCAGTGGGGTCTCGTTCACTACTTTTCAGTTTATCGGGGCTGCCTTCAGATGGTGGGAGACCTATGAGAAGAGCGGGTTAGTCGGTGCTACACCACTTTCATGACATGAGTTCTCCGTTCTCTTCTTGGAAAAGTTTGTTCCACCGACTCGTAGGGAAGAGCTGTCCAAGAAGTTCGACTAGCTACGTCAGGATGGCCTGTCTGTGACCGAGTAT